CAGGTCCAACCCAATATATCTGTGGACTGAATCCAGCCCGCAGCTGCCAGTCTGCATGTAAGCTCCAGAAACATGAGGGTATCAATTCTCCTCACTCAATGTCTTTACTGAAAAACACGTGAGCAAACAGAAGCACAGGACTGCTTGCACAAGCAGAACCATGTTCATCTGTTCTCCAACGCAGCCTCCAAACAGTTGCATCCATCTCCCATTGGTCTTCCAGAACAAGTCCCTCTCAGCTCCTAGGGAAGAGCCTCTTCTGGGCAGGCCTGCTTACAAGCTCATTCCGGGCGCTCCCTAATCTACCCAGCTCTGTTCTATTCCCCACCTCATCATCTCTTGAAGCGCTGTGGAGTTTAGAAAAGCCTCCCCGGCACCCCAGCTTCTTCCTGGCCTCCAAATTCAACCCTTCTCCACCAGGCCTCACTTGACAGGCCCCCACCAGCCCAGCAGGTTGTCCCTGTGCCACCCTCTGGCCCAGACTGTCTTGATTCCCCATGGCACTTGGGACCATGGAACGTGAGGCCTATGACCTGGTGTGTCCTCTGAGGATGTACATAGGTATGGATGAACCTCTCAAGGGCCTGCCCCAGCCAGGCACTGCTGCATGAGAAAGAGCACACCCAACCCAAAAAGCAGCAATGACTCAAAAGATTTCCCCCAGGGGCTAAGGAGAGCCCTGCACACCAAGGAGGCATCAGCCAAGGCAAGGGGGCGGGGTTAGGAACATGCTGGACCCGCATGCCATACAGGATGTGAAGGAGTTTCCTGCTCACCCAAAAAATCTTGGATGCCTTAAGCTCTGAGAACTAAAAACGTGGTCCTTCTACTTTCAGGGAGAAAAGATTATGAACATATTTAAGCAACATTTCTGTTGCTTTGAGATAACAGAAGACAGTCAAACTCTAATCACAACAATTGTTTGCCAGGTGTCAGGCTCTGTCACCACTTCACCTAAGGGCCTCCCCTCTGAATCAAATATTCCTCTGGAGATTTAATCGTGGGAGGTCCATTTAAAAAACTCCAACAGCCGGGCGCGGTGGCTCAAGCCTGTAATCCCAGCACTGTGGGAGGCTGAGGCGGGTGGATCACGAGGTCAAGAGATCGAGACCATCCTGGTCAACATGGTGAAACCCCATCTCTACTAAAAATACAAAAAATTAGCTGGGCATGGTGGCACGTGCCTGTAATCCTAGCTACTCAGGAGGCTGAGGCAGGAGAATTGCCTGAACCCAGGAGGCGGAGGTTGCAGTGAGCCAAGATCGCGCCATTGCACTCCAGCCTGGGTAACAAGAGCGAAACTCCGTCTCAAAAAATAAAAATAAAAATAAAAATAAAATAAAAAACTCCAACAGAAGCCGGGCGCGGTGGCTCACGCCTGTAATCCCAGCACTTTGGGAGGCTGAGGCGGGTGGATCACGAGGTCAAGAGATCGAGACCATCCTGGTCAACATGGTGAAACCCCGTCTCTACTAAAAATACAAAAAATTAGCTGGGCATGGTGGCGCATGCCTGTAATCCCAGCT